TGGGGACAAGAGGGATGAGCATGGCTACCTCATGGATGCCAGTAGGAGCTTTGGGTGGGCATGGGAGTGTCAGGGTTTCGACTGATTGAGGGGCCCCTCGCCAGGACCCTGGTGGGAGGAGTCTCTCTTGGCCTTGGCTCCTGTCTGACCTGGGCTGGGTCTTTGTTTCCATGGTGGCAGGTGGGCAGAACGGGGTGGTCTGTCTTCCAGTTGACCCTCCCCAGCCACCCCGGGTTAAGGCTTGGAGCTAGGCCAGTTCCCCGCCTCTGCACCCACGGCAGCGCCAACTTCCGCTCCCCCAGGATCTGGGCCTTTGGCTGGGGCGGGTGGCGGGGCAGGGAGGGAACACTGTGTTCTCTGAGGAGCTGTACTTCCTGGACTGCCTCTGTGTGTGTGTGCGCATGTGCATGTGCTTGGGGTTCCCAGGAGGCCACAGGAGGAGTGGGGTGCAGGCTCATGAGACGGACAGGAGGAGGAGGAGCAGCCCTGCAGTGAGGAGGGCAGGAGGTGATGTGTGGGAGTGGACAGGTGGCAAGAGCTTGGCGGCCTGCGGGGAAGGACTGCCCTTTGCCCCTTGGCCCTGTCCTGCACCTCGGGGCCTTCCTGAAAGCTGCAGGAGGGGACTGCTGTGGCAGAGGGGGCACCCCCTGTCCTGGAGCTGGGCCACCTGGCCGGAGCCCGTGCCAGATAGGACTGGCCGCAGGAAGGAAGGAAGCTCCTGCCTGGGCCGTCCACAGGCCTGGACCGCGCCTTCCCTAGAGTCCCTCATCAGGCTGGCTTGGGACTTGCCCTCGGGGTTTTCTGAGCCCCCCCACGGCAGCCCTAGCCACCCCCTCCACCTTCTGTCCCTGGAAGGTGAGTACCTCTGGCAGGTCTGCTCCGTCTGGTGGCCCTCCTGGGCCCAGCTCCAGGCTTTGGCCTGCCCTCGTGGCCCCCACACCTTGTGTAGTGGCAAGACCCCCAGTTTGGGTGGATGTCCCAAGGGACCAGGGCCGTCATGAGCAGCCTCCGATAGGGTCTGTGCTGAGCAGGCCGGCAGGCCCGCAGCAGGTAGGGGCGCACTGAGGCCACCCTGGGATGCTGGGGCCTGCCACAGCCATCCGCTGCTCTCCAGTGCCATGACAGTGAGGAGGTGCTGGGAAGGGCCGTGTCGAGGGCCCTGGCTGGGCAGTTCATCGGTGCTGCTGGCTCTGCTGCACCTCACCGATTCCTGCAGCACATGGGCAGAGGTGGGTGTGATGACGCCCCCGGGGACGCGGCTGCCCTGTGCAGTTATGACGTGTGTGCGTGTGGGTTTCCAGGTGGCTTTGGCTCCCGAGAACTTCTGCTCCTGACATGGCCTCACCCCACCCCCCTCCCCACCCCTACAAACAGCCCCCCACCCCAGGAGCCCAGGGCCGAGTCCTTGTCCCTGGTATTGCACTAACCAATGTCAGCAGGGGACCTTGATGTCCACTGGGTGCTGCCTTGCTCCTAGGACTGCCATTGCCCTGCCTCCTGCCGGGCACCGTGCCCCTCTGGGTGGTGTGCAGGGCACCCACTCAGATCTGTGTCCCTGGGAAGGAGAGGGGACATGTAGGACTCAGAAGCAGGGCCTCCGGTCCACGATGCCAGCCCACGTGTCTCGTCCATGACAGTGATGCTCAGGGCCTTCCCCAGTGGCGTCTCTCCTGCCAGCAGACCGACCAGTCCCCGCCCCAGCCCGCCTCACAGCCTGGCTGTGGGCAGAGCACGCTAGCGTGCCCTGGCGTGAGCGAGGGGAGGCGCCTGGTCCCGCTCCCGCCACGTCGCCTCCCTGCCCTGTGTTACAGCTGTGGCCGCTGCCCTCCCCGTGACGCGTGCGTGCTGCCAACGCCACGGTACTAATCGTGTCTTCTGTGTGTGCTGCCGTGTCTCTCTCCTTGTCTCTCAGGTGTGTGGTATTTTTTTTCTTTCTTGTACAAACGTGTCTTTCCTGATTGTAACACGCTGAGTCCTTGTTTAGCAAACCTGGAAAAGTGCAGAAATAAACGTGAGCTGTGGTGCTTGCTGTGTCCTGTCCCATCTCTCGTGTGCGTCCGCTCTCTGTGTCCGACAAGCCTGGGCTGCTTGCTGACTTTTCTCTTCTGCTTGTGTTTTGATCTGCCCCAGGCAGTGCTTGGGTCCCGCCGACAGGGTGATGGAATCCCTGCCTCACTTTTACCCCTGTGGTGCCCCGACCCCGTCCCCAGGAGGGCCCTTCCTGAGGTGGAGCACATGGCTCCTTGCCCACCCTGGATCCTGGGGGTGCATGGGGGCAGCTGAAGCCACCCAGACCCGGACTGGCTCTGTGCTGACTCAGCCACCCCCAGCTGCCTCCTGGCCCAGCACAGCCTCAGTCCCACGCCCGCAGTCCTCTTTAAGGTCCAGCTCAAGAGCTGGTAGAGTTTGTAGACCGCACACACTCGCTGGCCAGGGAGGTGTGCTGTCACTGGAGAGCACGAGGTGGGCCCCGTGGACAGGGTCCTTATTCCCCCAGCTGCCTCTCCCGGCAGCCCCGCCTGCTCTGTCCACAGGAACCGGCCAGGTCCCTGCCCGGGTCCCTCTCTGGAGCACAGGGCACGCTAGGCAGCAGGCATAGAAGCTGGGCACAGTGATGGCGCTGCTGGGAGACAGTGGGCGTGGGAGACGCAGGCCGCGATGGGGGCCAGGTTGTGGGCTGCAGGCTCCTAGACTTCCCTAAGCTGGGCAGTGTAGGAGGCCGCGCCAGCGGCCGCTGAGCCCAGGTGTCACGCGGGACAGGCCAAGGGATGGCCACTGGGCACCGGGTGTCGTGCAGCGCCAGGCCAGGGGCTGGAAGGGCTGATGTCCTCCTGGTTGCTCAGTGTCCAGGACATTTCAGCACTTCTGGGAAAGGCAGGTATCTTGTGAATGACCCCTCGGTGCATGGCGGCTCTGAGTTCCCAAAGGGTTACTAAGCTTGGGGTGCTGGGAGCTGGTTCTCGGCCACCCCTTGCCCTGACCAACTTGTACTTCTGGGAGGACAGAACCTGGAGAGCACTGTGGGCCTGATGAGGCTGGACGATGGCCACCTCGCCTTTTGCTGCCCCTGTAGCATGGTGCCTGGTGGGGTCACCGGGAGGGAGGCCTGGCCCTCTGCCTGCCCACAGCCAGGCTCTGTTGCCTAGCCCCACGGTCCTGTCTCTGGCTCTTTCAGACGAGCCAAACTCAGGCTATACCTGGAGCAGCTGAAGCAGCTGGTGCCCCTGGGCCCCGACAGCACCCGCCATACCACGCTGAGCCTCCTGAAGCGAGCCAGGATGCACATCAAGGTGAGGCGAGCACCTGGTACCCACCCCACCCCACTGTCTCCCTGGGGCAGCCCAGGACAGCCCAGAGGTGGGAGGCTCTGGGGAGCTGGAGAAGGGCACGGGAGCAAGTCCGACTTTTGTTGGGCATGGAGGGGAGGGGGAGAGGGTGGAGCGGTTCTCTGGGCCCTGGGCTGTGCAGGGCAGCCTGGGGCGGGTGTGGAGTGGAGGGGAGGTAGATAGCCTCCTGACACAGCAGGATTGAAGGCCTTGGGAGACTGCAGCCTGTGGCAGGCCCTCACAGGGTGCTCACTGCCCAGCAGCGGGGAGGGTGGGGCTCATGGTTCAGGAGGGTTTGCAGATGACAGCAACGGGGGCGTGCAGAGATGGAGGTGCTGGGGGTGGGGGGAGTGGGAGCTGCAAGTGGCTGGCGTCCCGCAGGCCTGGGAGGTGGCCCCGGGTGTGACTGCCTGACTGAGCCACTCTAGGCTCATAGCCCATGCCCCCATCTCCCAGAAACTGGAGGAGCAGGACCGCCGGGCCCTGAGCATCAAAGAGCAGCTGCAGCGCGAGCACCGCTTCCTGAAGCGGCGCCTGGAGCAGCTGTCGGTGCAGAGTGTGGAACGTGTGCGCACAGACAGCACGGGCTCTGCTGTGTCCACCGACGACTCAGAGCAAGGTGGGGCTGGGGCCCTGGGGGTGGTCCTCACTGCCAGCCTGCCGAAGGGGCATTGGCTGGGGTCCCCGGAGGCCAGGCTCTGGGCTAGAACCAGCCTGACCTCGTTCCCTCTCTCCTCCCCAGAAGTGGACATAGAGAGCATGGAGTTCGGATCCGGGGAGCTGGACAGTGTGGGCAGCGGCAGCGACGTGGATGACCACTACAGCCTGCAGAGTGGCGGCTGCGGTGCCAACTTCGGGCCTCCCTGCCGGCGGCCTGGCCGCCCTGGCCTCTCCTAGGCCAGCGCCCTTCACTCCTTGGCCTGCCCGCCCGGCTGAGCGTGTCAGCCCTCCTGTCCTCCCTTGACCGACACCAGCCTCTCCACGGGCCACTGCTGTGCCATTCTGGAAGCTCCAGCTGCCGCCTGGGCTTGTCTGCCTGCCTGCCTGCTGGTCAGGGCCCGCCGAGCCGCCCGCCCGTCCTGCCCGTGCGGGGCCCATGGCAAGGGCAACAGGGCAGAGCACTGCGTGGTCGCCCACGGTCTGTCATCAGATTCCTAATCATTCCAGAAGTATTAAATGTTCATTGCTGCAAACCTCGGCAGGCGCCATGTCAGGGGGCTTAATGACCACTTCGGGGAGCTCAAACTACTCCCCCCACCGCCCGAGCCTGGATGCTGGGAAGGAAGACGTGGCTGCCCGTCCGTCCGTCGGGCCATGCAGGCTCCCAAGGTGTGGACAGAGGGATCTGTGAAGGGCGGGACTTGGGTGAGCAACCCCAGGGTAGGCGGGCGGAGGGGCCATCCCCACCCTGCAGGTCCTGGAGTCAGCTAGGGTGGCTGCTGGCTTGGTCGGACCCTGAGTCACACACGCAGGCACCCCAGGACAGCATGTGGGTGACCGGGGCAGCAGGTCAGCCTTCAGCCAGCTCATGCTTGACACCTGTGCCCAGCTCACCTGCTGGGCGGGTACAGCTACCACTTCCTCCAGCTTTCTCGTCTCCCTTTGAACAAACCAAACCGCAAATGGTGGGGGAGCTTTGTGCCACCAGCTCCTGCCCATGTCCACCCTGGCTGGCAAAGAAGCTTTTCCAAAAAGAAAGAAAAAAGGAACAGATTCTTTTTCTTTTAAGCAAGAGAAAGAGCTCTGAAGCCTGGGCCGCAGGCGGGCAGCGCGCCTTGCTTTCCAGAAGATTTTTTTACTCTACTTTCCTAGCTGCTGTTACGTCCTTGGTTGCTGAGGGGTGGGAGCCACCCAGCGTCTCAGGGACCTGTCCCTCTGTCACGCCGTCACAGTGTGCCTTGCGCCCTGCTTGTCACCACCAGCATGTCCCTCCTGGCTCGCAGGCTGCCCCGGCTGGCCTGCCCCCACTCTGCCCCAGCAGTCCCCTCGCCCCCCAGCCTCTGTGGCCACGGCTCCTGGGAGTGGTGCCCGCTACTTTTTGCAGCGGGTGGGGCTGTGGTTTGCCCCCTGGGCTGCGCTGGGGAAAGAGGGCCTCCTGGCTAGAGGTGGGCTTGTGAACCAGAGAGAATCTCACTCATGCCCCCATGTAGGCTTCTTCAAACCCTGGCCTGGGGCCAGGACCCTGGGTTTGAGACATTGGCAGCTGAGATGGACAGCATTCGTCCCTGGTGCTGTGGGCCGTAGGCGTCCACTGGCCATTTATTCCTGTGCTCCTTGTCCCTGGAGACAGGCAGTAATGCCTGGGCGGCAGGGTGTGCCCACACATGTGCCCCTGCCGCCTCCTCCCCCAGCGTATTGCTAAGCAAGTTCCAAACGTGGAGAAAAATTTGTGTTTGCATTGTCAGTTGCACCAATGGACACCCCAGCATGTGGGCCTCTTGAGATAGACAGGGCTCCCTAGAAATAGCTGTGGTGCAGAAGTTGAAATGTGGGAGCCTAGGATGGTTGGCGAAGAGCAGGGGGGCACAATGGAGTCTGCACCCCTCACCCGATTGCCCGGGTGGGTGTGAGGGAGAAAGGCAGATGTCCCCTGAGCCGTCCCTTCTGTACCCTCTGCCCATGGAGTGTGGGTAAGAACCTACTCCAGGGCGGGAGGCGGGTGGGCAGGACCCCAGGAACCCTCCCAGCCCGTGACAGGCACAACCTCACTGGCCCCTCAGCCCGAGGCGCCCACGTGGCCTTGGGACTGGGCCTTGCAGTGGGCTCCAGCCGCCCTTCCTGCTCCCCACAGGTGGGTGAGGGGTGGCCCTCAGTAGGAATGGGGCTGTGCTGGGAGTCACTTGAGCATTCCTCTCGGCCGCATCCGTGGCACAGGCCGGCGGATGCCAGGGGCTGCGGGTCCTGCATGTATCTGCCCACGTGGGCCAACATGGTGTTGGGGCCAAGGGTCTGGAATCCCATGCGCAGGCGCGGGGACGCCAAGGCAGACTCCACACTGTGGTGCAGGCCCAGCCGGCAGGGGAGATGCTGCCGGCGGTGGCCCTGGTCAGCCTCCACTGACCTGACTCCATGTGGCGGCCAGGCGCTTGACCTGTCTGCCTGCCGGCTGGCCTGAAGGAATGCCATCCTCTGCCTCTCTCAGGGTTAGGATCCCAGTGCCTCCCCAGTGCCTCCCCCCCAGTACGATGAGGGTACCGGGGAGGTGGGTGCCAGAGTCTGGGGTGGCACAGGGTGGGGGAGTGGTATGCAACAAGCTCCATGCTGGAGAGTTAGAGATGGGGCGTCCACCTGCCTGTCCACCAGGTGGGCTGTGCTGTGTCATTATGTCATTGTAATATAAATACAGATTTTTATACCTCACCCTCTGTCTTCCAGTTTTTTCCATCTCTGCTTTGCTGCCCGTTCCGCAGCCTCCTGCTAGCAGGTCTGGACCAGCTGGCGCTGATCCTGCAGAATGCCATGCTGGCCGTCACACACTGCCCTAGCCTCTGCCGGCTGCAAGGACTGGCAAGCCATTCCTCTCACTGCTCTCCAGCCCTCGCCGTGGCCAGAGCTGGACTCACTCAAGGCAGGATGGAGGTGGAAGCCCACTGCGTGCTCTCAGTGCCAGCCTCGCTGCTTTGCCCCAGCTCGGCCTGAGCACTGCCCATTGGGCACACCTTGTGTTCTGCTGGCCAGGTACACGCTCAACGGAGGCTGTTGCTGGTGGAATACCCACCGCTCAGCCCCAGCCCTGGGGGCCCTGATCCTCAAAGGCCTGGATTAGGCAGCCCTCAGCTGCTTCGAGAGAGGGGAGGGCATCCAGGAGCCTTTGCCTGGGGCACTGGGCCAGGGCAACGCCAGAGCAGGGGATCAGCATGCCATGTGTGCAGCAGAACCCACTGGAGAAGGCCCAATGGGACTCGCTGGCAGGGGGCAGGGTTCTGGTGACCTTGGGAGGGGACTTTCCCGTCTCAGTGGGCAGCAGTGGACTCCGGTTTCTGGGACCTGTGTGGGCTGTGGGGAAGGGGACTGGAGAAGCGTTGCCTTCAGGAGGCGGCTGGGTCTTGGAGCTGGTGGGACTCGGCTGTTAAGATCATCCCGGGCATCGGAATTCCAGATGCTGTGAGTCGGGTCATTCCCACCACCACTTCCTTGTGGGGGTGCATGGGTGCCAGGGACTGTGACAAGTCCTCTGAGTGTCGTCCCAGCTCGGAGCGGGTGGGATGTCCTGCTTGTCGCCTTGTGGGGTGGGTGAGTGGGAAGAAAGGCCACTGGCCGGCTCAGCTATGGCCCCAATTTGGCCGGGTCCCTGTGATGGGGCTGGTGCCCATCCCCAGCTGTCTCTCTGGCCCCCTTGGGCGTGTGTGTCCTGGCGGACCGACCAGGTGGTGCCTCTGGCAGAAGTGGGTCCATCCCACTACCTTCATCAAAAATGGCACTGGACAGCGTCGGTGACCTCGGCTCTGACCTCTGACTTTTAAAGTCGGCCTGAAAAGATGGTGTGCAGAACTTGACTTTTCAAAGAAGCCTCAGACAGGAAGGAGTGGCCAGCAGCAGCCACACTTGATCCCTGCAGCTCATCTGTTTATTATTTTTATTGGTGTAAAAAACAGATTTTATGTGGTCCAGATGTAGCTCCACCAATACGGAGAAGCTTCGTCCCTCCCTCTCCTTCCCGTGGAATCCTCTCTCCTGGCCCCAGGAAGGCCCTAGATGCTCCTGCGGAGAGGCGGGCAGACCACGCGGGGCGCGTGCTGACTTAGGTCCAGAAGACAACTTTCTGTCCCTTGTGCTCCGGGGGCGGATTGCATCATGATTTTCTGTACTTTCAGCCCCCCGCCCCCAACAGCTTTGCAATAAGGAGCTGTGGTTGGCAACTCAGTCAGGTGGGGAACTTGGAGGCGCAAGAAGCCCCCCTGCTGGCCGGGTTCCAGCCTGGGCTGGGGTCAGTCTGCGCCTTCCGGCACCTTTAATTCTTCTCCTGAGAGTCCCTCCTCTGTCTACAAACATCCCCAAGTGCCCGGGCTCCCACCCCTCATCCGCGTCCACTGCTCCTCCTCGGCAGGGCTCTGGCCGGGGAGAGGGCCGAGGAGAGGGGCGCCCGCTGCCCTGTGCTCTCGCGGCAGGTCTTCCCGGCACGGTGGCTTCGCGAGCCTTTGCTATTTTCCAAAGGGGGAGGACAAAAAGCAAACCAGGGCTAATGGGAAGTAGCTCCGACTCAAGGCTCAGCTGCAGCACCTGCTCAGGATGGGAAGGAGGCATGCAGGAGAGACCCCCGCACCCGTGGGGGACCCGCACCCGGCTCCGAGCAGCTCCTGCCGTCGCGGCCGTGTGCGGAGAGAGCCAGCGATGGAAGATCTGCCTTTCCAATAAAACTAGCATATCCGTATATATATTTAGTGAAGAAAGACTATTCAGAGGTGTCTACCTAGACCCACAAGACCAGAACCTTGCCTGACCTCAGGGTCACTTGTCCCAGGGGATCCCGCCCCTCGCAATTTCCCATGTTAACTTGTGGAAGCAGATGTTGCAGATGTTGTGTGGTCTGCCCCACTCAAGTGATTCCCTTAAGGGTCTGCTCTCTGGCCCGCGGACGTCTCCCGGCTTTGCACCCAGGGAACACTAGGGCGCCGTCCATCGCCCGAGCGCGGCCGCTTGCTTCTCTGCGAGCCGACGAGCGAACCTTCTGGAACCAGCCCGGAGTGCGGCGCTCTGGTACAATGACTGTCGGTCCTGTCAGCGGGCTCTCGGTCCGTTGCTTCCCCCGCCAACTGGGCTTTCTCTCCCCGGACGGCCGGGACTGGGGTGGCCGCAGCAGAGACGAATCTAACTCGGACCACCGGTCGCGGCTGAGCGGCGCCGTCCCCGCACCGACCTTCCTCTCACACAAACATTCCAGAAGCCGCCGCCCCGGCCCTCGCCGCACATGACGTCACGCCGGGGCAGGGAGCCAATCAGCTTGGGCCTGGCGGTGGACGCCGCGGCCGGGGCGGAGCCTGCGCTGAGCCGGCTCTGTGCGCGTGCGCGCCGCGGGCTCCCGTGAGGCCGTGCGCGGCGCGGGAGCCGGTGGCGGGCGGCTGAGGGCGAGCGCTGCCCGGCTGAGGCGCGGGGTGAGGGGCGCGGGTTGAGGAGAGTGCGGGCCGAGCAGAGGGGCGCGGGGTGAGGAGAGGGCCGAGCAGAGGGGCGCGGGTTGAGGAGAGCGCGGGCCGGCCGAGGAGAGGGCCGAGCAGAGGGGCGCGGGGTGAGGAGAGCGCGGGCCGAGCAGAGGGGCGCGGGGTGAGGAGAGGGCCGAGCAGAGGGGCGCGGGTTGAGGAGAGCGCGGGCCGAGCAGAGGGGCGCGGGGTGAGGAGAGGGCCGAGCAGAGGGGCGCGGGGTGAGGAGAGGGCCGAGCAGAGGGGCGCGGGGTGAGGAGAGGGCCGAGCAGAGGGGCGCGGGGTGAGCAGAGGGGCGCGGGCCGAGCAGAGGGGCGCGGGGTGAGCAGAGGGGCGCGAGCAGAGGGGCGCGGGGTGAGCAGAGGGGCGCCGGCCGCCCTGTGCTCTGCCGCGGGAGCCTCGCCGGGCCGGGGCGCCGTGGAGGCCGCGCCGCTGCAGCTGAGGCCGCTCGAGCTTGCTCGCTGCTCCCCGGGGAGGAGTCGGCGCCGCCCTCGGAGGGGTTTTTCTTCTCCTCGCTTTTTTCTCTTCCCGCACGCCGGCGGCAGCCATGAGCTGCGGGAAGGACTTGGTGGAGGCGCTGAGGAGGATCGGCTACCCCAAGGCCGACGGCCTCAGCGCGGGGGACTTGGACTGGCTGTTCGAGGCCGCCGAGGACCGCGCGTTCCTCGGCTGGTTCTGCGCGAGCGTGGGCGCGCGGCACGTGCTGGGCGAGCGCGAGCTGGCGGCGTGGGGCGCGCTGCGCGCGGCGGGCCGGCCGCTGCTGGAGGGCGCGGCGCTGGCCGAGGCGCTGGGCGCGTGCGGGCGGCCGGGCGCGGGCGGCGCGGCGTGCGGGCGGCTGCGGGAGGAGCGGGCGCGGCTGCGGGCGCTCGCGGCGCTGCTGCGGGGCCGGCGGGAGCGCGCGCGGGCGGCGGCGGCGGCGCCGCGGGCGGGCGGCGCGGAGGAGGCGGCGCTGCGGCGGGGCCGGGGGCTGCTGCGCGGCGCGGGCGCGGGGCTGCGCGGGGAGCTGGGCGCGGGCGCGGAGCGGGCGGCGGGGCTGGCGCGGCTGCTGGGCGGCGCGGGGCCGCCGGTGCTGTGGGCGCGGCTGGCGCTGGACGAGTTCCTGCGGCGGGAGCAGCGCGGCACGGCGGCGCTGGCGCGGGGCTCCCGGCGCTGCTTCCCGGGCGTGCACCGCGTCGCCCGCGGCTCCGCCGAGCACAACTTGCGGCTGCCGGGCGCCCCCGCGGCGGACGGCGACCCCGGGGGCCTGCGGGCGCTGCGGCTGGCCTACGTGTGTGCCCAGCACCAGCTGGCGCGCCTGAGGGCCGGGCGCTCGCGGCTGCGGGCCGGCGTCGGCTGGGCGGAGGAGCAGCTGCGCCGCCCGAGCGGACAGGTAGGGGCGCCGCGGGGCGGGCGCGGGGCGGGCGCGGGGCGGGCTCGGCGGGAGCACGGTGCTGCTTTGTGCAGCGCTCGGGGCCACGCGCTGGTGTGCGGGTCCTGACGCGTTGTCTGCAGCCGAGCAGGCTGCGGGTGGCGAGCTGAAGTTAGAGTCTGTGCCCGTCGCGGCGCGGGCTGGCCTGAACTGTCCTTTCCGGGGCCCGGGAGGGAAACAGCTGGCTGCTGGACGGTGCGTCCGTCTGCATTCTGAGCAGAGCCTGGTGCCAGGGCTCGGCGGCCCGGAGAGCGGTGCAGAGCCGCTGCGGTGCCTTCTTGCTCGTGTAGCATGTAGCTTTCCTGCACCCCAGCACGGAGTTACTGTGACTAAGTACGATGCAAAGACCTGTAACTTTGTGCAAGTGCGAGTTAACATCGGCTGAGTGGGTCAGTGTCTGTTGAGATGGTTTCAAGTTTTAAGAATACCTTCAGTGGCGTGTTCTCTGTGCCGGTAATGGATGTGAAACGTCACACTCAGTATTTGTCCTTTTTAGTTTTGCCTTATCCTAACATATGATGTTATTCATTGGATACGCTGTCTGATCACCTAAGATGGAAAGAGGAAGCAATTTTATAACTATTTGAAGTTTAACCTAGATTTTAAAATATAGTTGCTTTTCTTTGTGTAGGCTGTTGGCAAAGAAAACTTGTGCACTACAATTTCTAGCTTAAAAGATGAGATTCTGAAACTTGAAGAACAAATCATTCACATAAAAGATAAAAGTTTGCCTGCTGTGATCAAAGAAAATGCCCAGTTGCTGAATATACCCGTTGTAGAGGGAGACTTTGATTTGCAAATCGCTAAACAAGATTATTACACAGCAAGACAAGAGTTAGTGTTAAATCAGCTGATAAAACAGAAGGCATCATTTGAGCTTGTACAGTTATCGTATGAAATTGAACTGAGAAAGCACCGGGACATGTCTCGTCAGCTTGAAAGTCTGGTTCAAGAACTGAGTCAGAGTAACTCGGTGCTCTGCCAGCGACTGGAGCTGTTCACAGACCTTGCAGGCTCTCAGCAGGAGAACCCCAGAAACACCATCCATACCAAGGATTGTTCTTCTCATAGGTGTGTATGCTTCGCTTTCCTAATAATTTAATCTTTGCTTTTTATAAAATACCAGGGACTTTGAACAAAAACTGGATATTTAAGAAATTATTTTAAAGAACTATTTATTGGAAAGGCAGAGTTAGAGATCTCCCGTGTGTTGGTTCACTCCCTTAATGGTTTCAGTGGTGGTACTGAAGCCAGGGCCTTCCTCCTGGTGTCCCGTGTAGGTGCAGGGGTCCAAGCACTTGGGCGCTGTCCTCTGCCTTGCTACATCACAAGGAGAGCAGCTGGGAGTTGAATTGGTACCTGCATGGGGTGCCGGCATCACAGGTGGCAGCTTTACCCACTGTGCCACAAGTCGTCCCACTGAAGGATATTTTGCACTTGAGTTTTGACTTACTATGCCTCTTTTGAATATTTATCTAATTTTTTTAAAAAAAAAGATTTATTTTTTTATTGGAAAGGCAGATATACAGAGAGGAGAGACAGAGGAAGATCTTCCGTCCAATGATTCACTCCCCAAGTGAGCGCAATGGCCAATGCTATGCCGATCCGAAGCCAGGAGCCAGGAACTTCCTCTGGGTCTCCCACGCGGGTGCAGGTCCCAAGGCTGTGGGCCGTCTTGTCTGCTTTCCCGGGCAACAGGCAGGGAGCTGGATGGGAAGTGGAGTCATCAGGGCATGAACTGGTGTCCATAAGGGACCCTGGCTCTTGCAGGCAGATTAGCCAGTTGAGCAATTGTGTAGTGCATCTTCTAAAAAATTTTTTTCCTTTAGACCTGAGGTAGATATCTGGAAGAATGAATTTATCAAGTTGTTTTTTTTGTTTTTCCCTTTTGGAGGCGTTATTTTGGATTTGGGGCAGGAAGTTTGAATACAGCTTGGTAAAGATAACTGGTAGGTGGGGGTTGACTGCATTTTATCAGTAGAGAGAATAAAACTTCATATCCTTTTCAAAGATTTTTTTATTTGAAAGGCAGAGCCTTTTCCATCCACTGATTCCTTCCTCAGATGGCCACGACAGCCATTGCTGCAGCAGACCGCGTCCAGGAGCCAGGCAGGCCGTCCTTGACTTCCGCAGGAGTGGCAGAGGCCGTGCGGTCGGTCATCTGGCAGCTGGGTCGGAGAGGGCTCTGCCCAGTGTTGCGCTGTGGCTGGCGGGTGCCTAGCTGGCCGTGACACTTGGCTTCTCGGCCTAGTCACGGGAACCACAGAACACAGGCAAGCTCTCAAGGCTTTCCTGGATGTGGAAGTGGATATTGGTGCAGGAAAACTGGTACAGGAAGGGTTAAGTAGTCTTATTTAAGACTTCAAAAATCTGGGTCATACTCCTGATTTTTATGTAGAACAAAATTATCTGCCACTTTTATTTCTTAATAATGAAATGAAGGACTTGGATCGGACTGCCTCATTGTGTAATTTCAGGGAGTGCCATTGTCGTGATCTGTGCAAATGGTGCCTCCTGGAATTGTGTAGTTATGTCTCACAGGACTGTAATTGGTGGCCTATTATTGTTATTATTGTTATTAAGTTTAGCTTATTAGGCAGATTTTGCAGCGCAGGAGAGACATTTTCCAGCTCCTGGATCACTTGCCAAAGGGTTGCAGTGGTCACAGCTGAGATGATTCTACACTTGATCTTAGCCAAAAGGCCGAGAAGCGATGCAGCTGAGATGATTCGAAGCCAAGAGCTGCTTCTGGGTCTCCCATGCGGGTGCAGGGTCCCAAAGCTTTGGGCCGTCCTCAGCTGCTTTCCCAGGCCACAGGCAGGGAGCTGGATGGGAAACGGCGGCTGGGACACACATGGGAAGCCAATACTTGGAGGTGGAGGATTAGCCTTCTGCTATTTTGGCTCCGTTTTTTAAATTTTTGTATAATTTATGTTTACATTTTCAATTTTCTCCTAATTAGTTTTCCATTTCCTATAAAATGAAGTGATATTAACATGGTAGTAACAGGGCCCGGCGGTGTGGCCTAGCGGCTGAAGTCCTCGCCTTGAACGTGCCAGGATCCCATATGGGCGCTGGTTCTAATCCCAGCAGCTCCACTTCCCATCCAGCTCCCTGCCTGTGACCTGGGAAGGCAGTTGAGGACGGCCCAAAGCTTTGGGACCCTGCACCCACGTGGGGGACCTAGAAGAGGCTCCTGGATCCTGGCTTCGGATCGGCATAGCACCGGTCGTTGCGGTCACTTGGGGAGTGAATCATGGGATGGAAGATCTTTCTGTCTCTCCTCCTTTCTGGATATTTGACTTCCTAATAAAAATAAAATAAATCTTTAAAAAAAATTAAGAAAAAAAACCCATGGTATTAACATGTAGATGAAACCTCAGAGAATTTTGATTTGTGCTAGCCGTAACTGGGAGCTCGGCTCTAGCTCCTCTATTTCAGGTTCCTTGCTAGTTCTGCTACCTCATACTTGTCCCCTGTGCTTTCTTGGGAGGCTAAGTCAGCTAAGAAACGTGTAGATCTTGGAAGCTGGGAGGCAGGGGGTCAGGGGTAGTGTTAGTATTCTGGTGCAGTAGTTGGGTTACTAGAGCAGGAATGGTTTCAGTTGCTTCATTTCAGCAAATGAATATTTTGAAGTTGGCACTGTGCTGTCCTATAAGTGCCCTGATGGTGGATTTTAATTTTGAAAACTGTGTTGACCTGAAACTTTTTTCTTATAATATTTATTTTCACATTCTAGGCTTTATCAACTTCTAGAGAGCGAGAACAGGAAAAAAGAATTGTTTATAACACGTGGGAACCTGGAGGAAATGGCTGAGAGACTGAGACAGGAGGTGTCGTCGCTGCGTGAGGAGTTGGCAGTGACCACTCGGGAACATTCATCCCTCCTGTCCACGCTGAACCGTGATGTGGACATGCTCTGTGAGGCTCTGTATCAGGGAGGGAATCAGCTTCAGCTCAGCGATCAGGTGGGTAGAGATGTTGGTGAGGAGGATGCTCCTTCCAGCCGCTTTGCACGTGCAGTTCACGTATAAACATATTCCCAGGCAGTTTTGATCAGTATGTACAGAACTTTACAGTGTGTGAAGTTTTTCAGACAGTTAGATGGTGACTGTAATGTTTATAGTGAGGTTCAGGACCGTCAAGTTACACTACCCGTATCATTCACTCATCCTGACAAGTAGGCGCTGCTGCTCTGTGTTCTCAGTCCTGGGTGTGCTTAGGGTTACACGTGCCTTCAGCAGAGCCCCGTTCCTTTTCTGTTGCTTGTGAAATGCTGCGCAGAGAGGCCTTCGTGTGCTGGTCGCAGTCACGGCCAGGGCGAGCCGGGAGCTTCTTCCAGTGTTCCCGTGTCAGTGGCTGTTAGCAGGGAGCTGGATGACAAGTGGAGCCACTGAGACTTCAGCTGGCATGTGTCACCGGCGGCGCTTTCCGCAGCGTGCCACAGTTAGTTGAGTTAGTTGATCTTCATGTGTCTGATTTACTGTGCGTGTTCTTCAATGCTTGCCTGTTTCTTGATGTGTTTTCAGACGCATCTGTTTTGATGCTTGTGCAGTCACATGTCTTCCGCGTTCTCTCTTCCAGCTAGCATCTCATCCCACGAAGGATCTGTTCTGTGCTCGCGCTGCTTGGCTTGTGTGGTTGCTTATCATAGTCGCACATTTGAGAGAGCCTCTGTGTTCACACACACCTTCCCCTCGCCCCCTCTCCCTGTCTCCTCCTTCCTCATTCTCCCTTTCCTCTCTCTCGCTCCCTCTCTGCCTCCCCTCCTTCTCTCCGTTTCATTCTTTTCCTCCCTCTTCCTCTCACTTTTTCTCCTCTCCTCTTTCTCCCCCCCCCCCCTTCCTCACTCTCCCTCTTCGTTTCTGCTCCTCTCTCCTTGCCTCCTAGAAGTGACAGGTTGGATTGTAGGATATGCACATGATCAGTTGTTTTCCACATGGCTTGCATTGTGCACCGTCAGGCTCTCAAAGATGCCCCTTGGAGGACTGGCACTGCGGTACAGCAGGTTCAGTCCCAGAGTAGGAGTGCCAGTTCACGTCCTGGCTGCTCAGCTTCTGCCTGGAGTAGGGGGCGGTGGAGGATGACCTGGGGGTGTGCGTCCAGATGGAGTTGCAGGCACCTGGTTTTGTGTGCCCAGCGTTGTCCGTTGAGGCTGTTAGGGGCTGGACCAGTGCTTGAGGGAATTCTCTGTGGCTCTTCCTTATTCTCTCTGTAATGCTGCCTCTTAAATGAGCGAATCCTTAGGAAAAAGATGTTATTGATTTGTTGTTCATCATAGAACACTACCTGACTTACCAATTTCTGCCAATCATGAGGATGCAGAATCATGTCCTACTGGAGTTGTAATTTGCATTTCCCTAATTGTGGAGAGATTGATCCTGCTTTCACTTATTTGTGAGAATTGCTGGTTTATTTTCTTTGCCCATTTTCTGTGCTTTGGGCCGTCCTCTGCTGCTTTCCCAGGCCACAGGCAGGGTTTGGATGGGAAGCGGGGCTGCTGGGACACGAACCAGCACCCACATGGGATGACAGCTGCACGTATGCGAGAATTTATCCACTGAGCCGTCATGCTGGGCCCTTACAGATTTTTAATTGAGGTTTATTTCTAAAATTGTGAGAATGTATGAAGTCACTTAAGAGTCTTGATTAAATTCCATAGCAGATTTGTAGTGGGTTAGGAATGAAGTTCTTGAATTACAAACATTTTTATTTTCTTGTTTTAGGAGTTGGTAGAACAGTTTCACCATGTTGGATCTCAACTCAGTCAGCTAAATCATCTTCTTACTGACGTTCTTGCTGATGTGAAGACAAAGAGAAAAATGCTGTCATCCAATAAGTTACATCAAATGGAAAGAGAGTTGTATGTGCATTTTTGGAAAGATGAAGATTATCTGAAGGAGATCGTGGAGAATTTAGAGAATCAGTGCAGGGCTCAGGCTGTTCTGCAAGGCTGAGAGTTCCTGGAGCTGCGTCTGCCGCACACACTGCCTTAATGTCCTATATGTTGGGGAGTACATGTAATAAATACATTTTAAAATGCACAGTTAATGGATGTTTTATTACATCATTCTGTGTTTTTTCTTGTACAAAGTACTGATGCTTCTTATGACGTGAACATCTGCTTGCACTTAGTTCTGGTAGTACCGTATTCACAAGGAGAAGGCTTTGTGCAGTGCATACATTTTTAAATATAGTAATAACTCCTTTATTTGAGACAGAAAGTATCTGTTAAATAGTTTTAAAGTTCCCAGCGTTGTGAGGCAGCATTTCTGATTCTGTAACTACCACAGCAGTCTCACTTACGTGGTTGAACGGTTGTGACTGCAGTTACTGTAGTGTCAGCTGAAGTCTGAAAATACCAGAAAGTTCCAGATAGAAAAGAGTTTGTGAGTTTTTTCCATTGTGTACTGGGTGAGTGTCGTGATGAAATGCTGAAGTGGTCACTTCACCCCCAGAAATCGGATCACCCGTTTGTGTAATGTGTGCACTCAGCACGCTGCCTGCCTCAGTCACTTGGGATACTGTCTGGCTTCCAGGCGTCCTCTGAGGGGACTTGTGTGTATGGAATGGCCCAGCCTTTCGTATGTACGTTCAGATTCTGCCGCTCCATTTATTTCCCCATAGTCCCTTGCTGAAGACTTTAATCTCGTTTGTTGCTACTTGCCCTAGAATATCAGGGCCCTATAGGTTGATCATTTTAGGAGCTGGTGTCTGGGGCCTTCTTGTTTCTGCAACGCGGATCTCAGCAGTGCTTTGACTGCAGAGTAACACATTGTAAATGACTTTGAATCAGTTTTTCAGTGGAAATACTTTAATATTGAATTATATGTAATATGGGTGAGGACTGTAGTATTTGGATATATCAAAAATAGTTTTAAGAACTGGTACAAGTAATATGAAATGTCTCTTGAGCGCCCCAGTTTAAATGTGACCCTGGTCAGAGTGATGTCAGGATTGTAAAGAACACCTTCCAGAATGTTCCCACCTGCATTGCAACAAGAGATGCCAGCCTGGAAGCTGCATATTTCATATCGTCTTGGGGGTTTTTCAGCTATAAACATCAGGAAATGGGCATGTTTAGGTGACAGAGGAGCACTTTTAACTTTTGTAACCCTTAAGCAAAACTTTTTTAAAAATTTGCCAGCTATTATATTAATGTACTTTAAAATTTATATTCAGTAAAATTTATATTCAGTGTACGGTGAGTTTTGCAGCAGTAAGGTTTGTCTGAGGTTCTGCCGTCATTCTCCCCTTTCTCACTTGTTTTCTGTCTGGGGATAGAGAATCAGTCTTTCTTCTGGTCTCCTGGCGCTGAGCGGCAAGTTCTGCTTCAGTTAGTGCCGGATATGTTACATGTGTGTCAATGCTGTGTTACTGGATTGGCATGTTTGAGGGTTAATAATAGTCATGTTTCAAACTTCAGGAAGCATTGTCTTTACTATGATAACCCTAACTGATCTTCCTATTCTGTTTATGATAGCAAATGACAGTCTTGGTGCTAAAGTTTTTCAAATAATTGTGTCTTATTTCGAAGTGTTGAGACATACCTGTCTTGTGTTAATCTTGCATTTAGGATTTTGTGAGCATGGAGAGCTGTGAGCCGTGTGTAGGCTTTGGTCTCAGTGAGCGCCCCCTCTCCAGCGTTGCTCAGAAGATCCTGGCGGCCATGCGTTCAGGTGGTTTAGTTGATGGTGACGAAGGGGGAGACAGGACAAATAGTGAGTATTTTCACGAGTTTGTTGCTTTGCATTGTAGTTATTCATAAGTAACAATTGAAAGTGACGTAGACATATGGCCAGGTTATTTCACAGAACTGCTGTTACCAGGGAAGTTCTGTGCTTACAAATAAATGCGATCCAGCTCTCCTCCCTTCATTCCCTGTTTGCTGAAGGAGCTTCTGCTCAGTAAAATTACATTCCCTTCGCTCTTACTGCTTTAAAACTGTACAAGTCATCTTTGTTGCAAGCATTTCTGTGGAAGATCCCATGCCTGTGTTGAGAGAAGATCCTGCATGCTGCCTGTGAACCTCACACTTGGTCCTCAGCTGGGAGACCGTGCAGGACTTGCTGTTGTGTGTGGTGAACTGAGCACTTCCTCGGAAATGTCGGTCCTGCTGGTATCAGTGTGGCCAGAATGTTCCGTTAGGAAAGCAATTTTCATGTTAAATCTGCAAGTCTGAGCCAATAGTTGGCCATTTGCTTCTTTTCCTGGGGTTAGTTAGAAGTTCGTGCACTACAGTTGACTGATTAGATTCAGATGAAGTAGTTGAAAGACTTGCCAAATTTTTTTTCTAATTATTTTGTTTTATTTTGATAGCCTTTACATAGTTGATTAGGACACAAATGGTCAAGGGCTGCAGGAAAGTAGTGGATAAGATCATTGTTTCCACATTTTTTTGTTTTCTGTGTCTAGGATAAGGGGGGAAATAAAGGGAGAAGCCCCTCCCAGCTTCCCACCCCATCCTAGCATCCCCAACATAGGGCACCCTCTTAGGGCACTGCTCAAGTGGTTGTGACAGTTCAACAGTTCTGAATTGCTGCCAATCTCGCCATTCCAAGCACGATGTGACATAGTCCACCTTAGAGTCTGCATTTCCCAATTCCCTCTACTAATGCATGGCTGGGTAGATGATCAATTTGTTCCGCCCTCCGTCCTCTGTGTGGTATCAGGTGTCCTCTGCAGGTTCGATGGACCGCCATTTCCCTCACGTGCACCTGGATATGCTGTCTACTGCTTGGTCTGAACTTGAGGAAGCTCAGCTTTGACACATGCACTCCATGGTCAGACCATGGAACCTACACTTCTCTTCACGGTTGGGGTTCTGTTGGTGGGATCCCCAAAGAAACTTAGTCTGAGGTGATCCCAGACCAGGTTCTCGTGTGTGCTTGCCAGTAGAGGGTCCGGAACAGTCCATCACCCCAGTCAGCTTATGCACACGCTGCTGGTTGCAACTGCTGGGTCAGTTCTGCCTCCAGCCCTGTCTTCCACATGAACCAATGGGTGTTACAGTCCAGCCTGATTCTGCCCATCACACACTCGGCCCTCATGCAAACCAGTGGGAGCTGCAGCCTAGTCAGAGCAACCTGCAATAACCCCACCAGGCCTGCCCCCTGCCCTGGTTCCCGTGCTTGCCAGCACGCACAGCAGACAGGTTCAGTGTGTCCCACATCTCATTCAGCTCTCATACATGCCAATCAACCCCACTATCCAGCCTACACACATGCCAGGGGGTGCCATTCTGTCCAGCCATGCCTGCCTCAGTCCTGGTTCTCATGCTCACCAGTGGGAGTGGTAACCCAAGAAGGAGGTGCCCACTATTTCCCTACTGGGCCACTCCCGGATCATGTACTCTCCAGGTGGTTCTGCAGTTTAACTTGACAGAATTAGCCCCCAGTGCCAGCCTCTGCCAGCTGATGCTGTGGCAAAGGCCAGCCAACCCTCGCCATCTCTTGATTTATGCTTGCACCAGTCAGAACAGTCAGCCCAGCCTGGCTTTTCCCTGATCTAGCTTAATTGTGACTTGCCAAATTCTGGCACAAAAGCTGTTATGATTTCTTGATTGATATAGTAGCAGTTAAGATTTCAATGTGCTTTTATTTGTTTTCTTATTCTAGAAGTCTATTAAAGTTTTGGCTGTGGACCATGCGTCTAGCTAATCATTGTATTTTAGGAGATATTAGTATCTTCACTATTTCCCCTAAGATAGGATTGTTTTCTAGGTATACAGTACTAAAAATAATTTCTGATGTATTTATTATGTGCTTTAAAAGTAATAGAGTTGTGTGATTTTGACAGAAGTGCAAACATACCTCCTTTGGAGACTGATGAAGAAATGGCTCCAGTAAAGGGGTCTGCTAACAAATTTGTGGTGATCAACTCATGTGAAGTCTGGTCATACTTCTCAAATAGCGTATGAAAATGGTTGTTTTTGTTAAGGTCATTGAGAAGATAATAGAGAAAATACTGTTGTTATTATTCAGCTTTTTTAAAAAATCACTATGATGGAATCCATGGGTCAGCTTCGTCAAGGACAGAGGCTTGTGTCCGTGTGCCTGCCTTGCTGGCAGAGTCCGGAGGCGGCCAGGGACTGTGCGCGTGCGTGTGGTCTTTACAGAGCCTCCAGGGGAGGCATTCCAGCAGCCCAGTCTAAACGCTTTCTAATCACATTAACAAACTTCCCACACTGAATAAAATACCCACTTTGATTGTATTAAGTGATTGCAATTAATTTGTGATTTTCAGGTTTAATATTTGCATGAGTTTGAGGCCAAATCATGTTCAAGCTATAAGATAAGATGTTTTCTTTTGAGAGGTTGTGGAATTAGAAAAAATAGGGGTATTCTTGTAGATTCTGTGTTGCCCTCACATCTATCCACCATGGAGCCCACCATGTGACAGGGACCAGGGCCCTCCTCACGTCTGTCCACCGTACATCCCACCATGTGACAGGGTGATAGGTACACACTTAAGCATGTGTGCGTGCACACACAATCCATTTTTTTTAAAGATTTATTTTTATTATGTTTTTATTGGAAAGGTGGATATACAGAGAGGAGAGACAGGGAGGAAGATCTTCCGTCCAATGATTCACTCCCCAAGTGAGCGCAACGGCTGATGCTATGCCGATCCGAAGCCAGGAGCCTCTTCCGGGTCTCCTACACGGGTGCAGGTCCCAAAGCTTTGGGCCGTCCTCGACTGCTTTCCCAGGCCACAGGCAGGGAGCTGGAAGGGAAGCGGGGCTGCCGGGATTAGAACCGGCGCCCATATGGGATCCCGGGCGTGCAAGGCGAGGACCTTAACCACTTGCGCCACCGTGCTGGGCCCCACAATCCATTTTTAATTGGAAAGGCATATTTTACAGAAAGAGTCCCAGAGAGATCTTCCATCCTCTGGTTCATTTCCCAAATGGCTGGAATGGCCAGAGCTGAGCAGATCGGAAGCCAGGAGCCAGGAGCTTTTTCCAGGTCTCCCACACGGGTGCAGGGTCCCAAGGCTCTGGGCCGTCCTCCACTGCTTTTCTAGGCCGTGAGCAGGGAGCTGG